TGAATGACTCTTGGAGCAAGGATGCTGGCAGATAGTTCCTCAAGCATCCACTGTAGATGCTCTGGCCTTCCCAGAGGCATCAAATTAAGAGATTGCTCCTGTTGGCCTTGGAACACCCAACCCTCTATGCCATGGTCTGTATGGAGTCACGATGGAGCATTCATCTACGGTGCTCAAGCACAGAAATGGGTTTCTTCATAATGTCCATGAGGCACCACTCCTACCTGGGAAGGCGGGGTGCAGGGCTCATACACAGCCAGGAGGTCCCACATGAATGCCTAACTGACCCACCTTGGCATACCCACCCTCCTCCAGGAGTCCATGAAATACCACATTGGCACACATTGACACATTTCTGTCTAGGTGTAGAATTCCTTCACTTGAGGGAGGAATGTCCCACTCCTCAAAACACATACCACGTGTACACACACTACAACATATATGAAGGCCCTGCCTTCCTTATACTATAACTTTTGGTCACCTAGTGGTTCACCTGCTCACCTCTCATTCTCCCCTGGCCCTATCAGTCGCCGAACCTCCTAGATCACCAACTTCGTCTCCTCCATCTTACATTGCATTTTTACCTCTAGGCAGTTTGATACTGCATCTCCATATAAAAGACCCTTATCTCTCGGTTGTTAGCTAATTATAACAATTTGGTAATTATTTACATCTAATATGCATCCTCTATATAAAGCTGATTGTGCATTATTGATAAAATTCCACAAATCATGTGCCCTATTTTTACAAATGCCATAGAGTTTCCATTGGCAATCTCAAATGATCATACTAGGTAGACCAGTGGTGAAAATTTTCCCATTCATTGTATTCCTTTCATTTTTAAAGAACTTTAAAGGAATTAGTTGGATATCTCAGTTTTTTAGGTAAAAATTGTGACACAATGGTTCTCGAGCATGCACTTTTTCTTCTGCATATATAGCCTGCAGATTTTCCAATTCCATCTAACTAATAAGAGCTACAGCTTAAAACAATAGCCTACACTTATCTGCTTGAGCCACTAGGTGGTGCACACATATGTCAGGGAACTGTAGGTTAAATGGGCTTGTGACCAGACCTAATTCATCACCACAGAACAAGTGGCACAGACAGGAGGAGGAGCTGTGGGAGTCAAGAAGAGTCAGCCATCCTGCTGATGGAGGGAGTCAAAGAAGAAGGTATTCCAGAGGAGGCAGACAGGCAGCACTGCCAGCTGCAGAGATGGTGAAAGCAAAATCATAAAGGCAAGACCCCCCCACCCCCCCCCCAAAGGCCCGGCCGAAAGTCCTGGCGAGGAAGGAGCATGCTTACTTTCCATGCTCATTAATTCCTGCCTAACAGGAGTAGTGGAGTCATTTGATTTAGAAATCAAACATTTCTCCAGGCCTTTGTGCTGGCACAAGAGACATTCAGATGAAAGGACATAGTCTTGTCTTTGAGTAAGGACCTTGTGAGAAACAGAAGGAAGCAGTCTATTAAGATAGAGCATGCTACAATACAAAAGGTATGTTTTAAAAGATGCATTGGAAGAACAAAGCGAAATACTCATTCTGCTCTGAGGAAGGGAGAGAAGAGGGTTGGGTTTGGTGTGCAGAGATGGCCTCCTGGAGGTCTTGAGAAGTAAGAGGGACTGCCACAAAGATCATGAGAGATTAAGCTGGGCTAGGAGCCATCCTGAGCCAAGGCTTGGGGGTTTGAGCGGATAAAGTGGATTTCAGGAATGGCTTAGTTGAGTTTAAGTAAATGTTTACCCAGGGCTCCTCTATGGACTATAAAATAGGTGTTCCAGAGTTTTAAGAGGCCCCGCGACTAGTGAGGAAGACACGTATGAAAATTGCAACGCAAAAGAAAGCTTAAAATGTGGCCCCTTTTAAAGTCTGACTGTTCTCCGAGCCCCTCATGTCCTGGCTACAGGGATTCTCAGGCAATCTCTGCACCAGAAGAGGGAGCCCACAAGCACAGTGTCTGGTTGCCTTTGGAGTCAGGGAAGGTATCCTAGTCTCCCTCACTCTTCTCAAAGTTGGAGGCCAGAGGCACAGAGTAAGTTATCCAAAGCCACACAGAGGTATGTCCAGGTATGTCTGCCTCCTGCCAGGTGTTCTTCCATTTTACCCTTCTGGATCCTGGACACAGAGTCACCCTTCAGAGATAGCTCTTAATTAGGAAATAGACACTTTTCAGATAAATAGATCTTCATCGCCAACAACAGTCATAAAGTCAAGCTGTGGAAAAATAGAAGGACACGTTGTGTGCTTTCCACGTGCATGAGGAAAGTGCCTGGCCACACAGCTGGCCTCGGCAAAGGCAGCTTGTTCTGCTGGCCTAATTCTGTTTGGAGAGGAAGCGCTCTGGCTCTGGCATTCCTTCTAGCCCATGGGTGTGTTTATTCCAGCATGAAGATATATGCTCACAATGTGGGCCAATGGCACCTTGGAATTGCTTTGTTTGCTTGGAAATGTCAACTGGAAGGAGTTATAAGCTGGCGGGAAATAGGGATGTGCAATTGAGAAGGCCACGCAAGGACACAGACCTGCATTTAGGCTGAGAAGTTACAGAAGCAGGGATGGATCGGTCTTGAAAAAGTTCTGACTAGGACAGATCAAGGTTAAATGGAGGAGGAGAGCCGAAACCAGTTTGGCTCAGTAGATAGAGCGTTGGCTTGTGGACTGAAAGGTCCCGGGTTCGATTCCGGTCAAGGGCATGTGCCTTGGTTGCAGGCACATCCCCACTGGGGGGTGTGCAGGAGGCAGCTGATCTATGCTTCTCTCTCATTGCTGTTTCTAGGTTTCTATCCCTCTCTCTTCCTCTCTGTAAAAACTCAATAAAATATATATTTTTAAAAAATAAATGGAGGAGGAGGGAGGCCAGGTCTTGTGAGGAAAGGACAAAGGAATTGGGAATAATTAACCTGCAGAGAAGAAACACAGGTCTTCTTCTTCATCTGTCTAAATTGTTGTCATGGGATGAGGCAGCTGGAAAGTAATGATGTTATAAGAAAGCAGGTTTCTTTTTTTTTTAAATATATTTTATTGATTTTACACAGAGAGGAATTGAGAGGGACAGAGAGTTAAAAACATCAATGAGAGAGAATCATCGATCAGCTACCTCTTGCACACCCCCCACTGGGGATGTGCCCACATCCAAGGTACATGCCCTTTACCGGAATCGAACCCAGGACCTTTCAGTCCACAAGCCGATGCTCTATCCATTGAGCCAAACCGGTCCCGGCAAGAAAGCAGGTTTCAACTCAGCTTAAAGTAGAGCTATCTGACTGGTAAGTAAGGAGTTCCCCATCAAGAAAAGGGATGAAACAGAAGCAGTTTGTACAACTACTGAGGACATTATGGAGGGGATTTCTGTCCTGATAACAGGTCAGATTCAATGACCTTTTATGTCTAAGCCTCCATAATTCTATGAAAATGGAAGAGGTAGCTTATATAAACCAAGGGTCCCTAATATAAGCCACCTAATAATAACAGCATCAATACTAAATATATCTTTTTTTTAAGCACCTATGGAATGCCTGGCATCATCATAATCATTTATGTGCATTGTCATATTTTGGCCTTTCAAGCCAGGATTAGACTGATTGAATTCTAATTCTGGCCCTTCCCTTTAATGAAGATGTGGTCTTAGACAGATCGTTTCTTCTCTCTGAATCTCATTTCCCTCCTCTGTACAATACCAATTCTATAGGATTGCTAAGAGTATAAAAGGAAAAGACATAGCAAATTGTCTGGTTCTGTGCCTGGCTTATAGTTGGGACCCACAAACTGCAGCTTATGCAGAATTCCAGGATGCCATTCTTGGAGAGAGACGAAATAAAGAGGGAAATGCAGGAAAGGTGAAATAAGGCAAAGAATCCATTAGGTGAAATACCAGGTAATCAGGAGAAGTTTTGCAATGGTTAGCCTCTGGCAATGGTTCTCGAAGTGGGGCTTTTTGGGGCCCCTTTTAAGAAAAAAATGCAGATTTTTAGTACTACAATATTTATGTAAAATCAAATGTAGGAAAAGAAAGAGGTCAACTGGGACTTACGTCTTTAAGGGAGCTGCCCACCATTGCCTCATGCCTGACCACATTACCCACTTTTCCATCCTCATCCTCAGGTTCCTGTGACATCCAATCCAGAACAGAGTTTCCCCACAAATTTGCTGTGATAGGGGCAACTCTTCCAAAATGTTAGTCACGTCAACCCTTGGGGTACCCCGGCTAGTTGCCTCCAAACCTATGTAGTCTCATCCATCTGACTTAGTGTGTTCAACAAATATTATTTTCTTTGAATGTTGTGTGGTACAAGAGAAGAGGATTTATTTAGAGAAGGAATAGTTTGCTTTCTTTTTTTGTTTGTTTGTTTTATTTTGTTTTAAATATATTTCATTGATTTTTTACAGAGAGGACGGGAAAGGGATAGAGAGCTAGAAACATCCATGAGAGAGAAACATCAACCAGCTGCCTCTTGGACACCCTCTACTGGGGATGTGCCCACAACAAATGTACGTGCCCTTAACCAGAATCAAACCTGGGACCTTTCAGTCCGCAGGCTGATGCTCTATCCACTGAGCCAAACCGGTTTCTGCAAGAAGAAGGAATAGTTTGATCATCAATAATTGGAATGGTCATAGCATTGCTGAGCAAATTCCAGAAGTAAAGCAGCCCAGGAATATCTTGGTTAGAAAGGCATAACAGGAGACTGACAGTGATGTAAGGACCCAAGACAAAGAAAATCTCCAGGATGTCAGCCACTTACCCAGTGTAGCAGGTGTGAGCACAGGCAAATGAGCCCGTGGCTTTTCCCTGATCACAATACAGGTTTGACCGCAAGACCTCAAAGACCCACTTAGCTCTGACCATCCAAGGACAAGCAGAAAGCCGCCCGTTCCCTTTGTCTCTGCAGAATCACGAGTGAGCACCAATTTATCTCAATGTACCCTGTTGACCTGCTAAGCACAAGTCAGTCTCTGGCTCAAATCAGTGCTCTCACAGTGTGTTTTCTTTTGCAGCAACAGCGGCAGCTTGATCTCCTAACAATAACCAACCCCGGTGAGTAGATATGGCCATTGTGCTTTGGCTTTTCCTTTATCTCCCAGAGTGATGTCTGATTGTCTATCCAAATGCAGCTCCTGCCTGCCTCCTCTGTTTCCCCCAGTGGACTGCAAAATTCTTTCGGGCTGTGAACACCCCTTCTCCCCCACCCTCTGTCCCACAGGCTGCGCCTCTTCTCCCTCCCAGCTCTTGCTGCCTCCTTTTGACTCTGCTGATGGCCGGGCTAATGCTCGGATGTGGCTGCATATTTCAAGGTCAGGTTCTCAAATCACTCGATGAACTCAAGTGTCAAGGAAGTGTCCGGGCCTCCTGAGAAATAAATTGTGAAGTCATGGGGACTGGGATCTGCCTGGTAGTGGCATGGGATGGAAGAAGGATGGCTCATGAAGAAGGATTACTCTGGGAAAGTGACCAGCTTTGGTTTGTGCTGAGGGTCAGGATGACTCTTCTCACACCTTCATAAGGAAAGATCGAATTCTCCAATAAAGCTGTGGCCATGGCATTGAAAGGCACTTTCTTTCCCCTAAGCCTGGCACATAGCCCAGAGAGAGAGATGGAGCTATTTTGTTTTGCCAGAAAGGGATTTTAGTTTAGTTTGAGAGGCAACTGGCCAACAAGAGATGCTGTTCTCTCTTGGGATCCAAGGAGGTGATGGTGCCAGCAGGGTGAAGGAGCATTCAAGAGTAGCTGTGGTGATTCATCTTCATTCATTGGTGATAATCTAATTATTTAACAGCCTGGCGACCCACCTACTGTGTTAGGCTTTACACTTGGTTTACTGGTCTGTGGGGAGATGGGGTCCTGAGAGAGGGGCCGGCGTTGCAGAGTGGTTGGTTGTATAGCAGGGTCAGCAGGCTCTGGGTGGCTAATTACCAATAAATATGGAGAGATGTCAGTATTTTAGTAATCAGTAGATCTGTCCCATGGCATCCCTGCCTTCCATCAAGCCTGTTATGCTGTATCCCGGGGCCAGCTGGTTCTCCTCCAAGGAGACTGAGAAAGTGCCGTGTGCAGGCTCTCTCCCAGCATGAAGGCTCTTCTGCCTCTAGTCTCTGTAACTGACATTTAAGACAGTGACAGCAAATGTAAGCTAGGTCCACCCAGTTCAGGGACCTCGCTGTATTTCCACCAGAGAGAGCTTTTTGAACTTGGGACTTTAGGACAAAGATGAATGCATCTGGATAATGTTTAATCTATCCATAGAATGAGCTATGTTTAACATATATACTAGTATGATTACATAGATAGACATTGGAAATCATAAGCTAATATAACTAGAGTGGCTCAGTCAATAGTGTGACCTACCAGTTTCTCCCACTGAGCTGCTGGTGAGGGACTACCTTTGTTCCATCCTGTTTGGTTCTCTCTGTCTTGTCCTACTCCACATATGCCGACCCAGGTCACCTGCTTTCACCTCCTTATTAAGCCACATCCTGTTGTGGTGCCAACGTATAAACTGTAGAGCACTGTGGACCTGTCTGCAGTTGCTTTACAAGGAAAGTTTCAGGCCCTGTTAACTGCCTTTCTTTTGCACTAGCTCCAGCTCTTCCCAGCTGCTAGTGTACAGATTCAAGCAATAGCATGACTCCCAGTGCACTGCTTACGGGCAGCTATGGACCTACAAAATGCTAAGTGCTACTGATTTAGAACAGTCTATAATTTTCTCCACTTTTAGATGAGAAAAGATGTGTGTCATGGCACACTAGTCTACTGTAAGTAGGTTAGACTTGTGTGATGTGGGATATATACCTGGACACATTGCTCCAGTCAGCTCTCTTATAGGCACTAGTAGACCCTGAGGCAGCTAGAGCTCCAGAGTGGCAGGTAGGCTTACTACAGCATGCCAGACAAATAGGGTCTGTATGCACCATGACTCGGAAAGGTTAGGAAGCATCTTGTATCATATGGACAACTCTACTCCAGGAGAGAAACACTTTCCTCTGTTGTTATTAGCTGTCTGCTCCCCAACCAAAAGCTGCAGCAGCCAGCAGTGGCCTCCTATCTCTGGGGCTGCAGTGGGAGGTCCTGGCTTGTCTACACTCCCCCTAGTCCCTCCTCAACACAGAACTGCAGTCTGATGCTGCCATTCCTCATAGACCAAGTCCTTGAAAGGCTGGTGGGAAATTTGGAATCTATGTTATCTTTTTTATACTCTCATTTTCTCTATTGTGAACAATTTCATACACTCAGAAAAGAGTAGAGAGATAATGAATAGCCATTTACTGCCCCTCTCCCCCACACCTTGGCTTTATCATATCAACATTGTGCCTTTTATGCCAATGGGTCTCCTATTTTTTAAAGTGTGTAAATCTGGTTGAGACTTTTCTATATGAATACCTGACCCCATCTCTCTCTCTTACCCTATAGGTAACCACTGTAATGAGTTCAGTGTTTCTTCATACTTATGCATCCAATTATATAACTGGTGTTCTTTTACAGATTCCTACAAATGGTGTCACATTATAAACTTATTCTGTGAATTTTCCTCTACTCTTTATTATATTATAGAGACTCGTTCATATAGATACATATAGCTCTGCTTCATTCATTTTAACTGCTATATGGTATTGTATAAATGATTAGATCACAATTTACTTATTATTTTATTGATCATAATTTGAAAATTTCTGGTTATTTTGCAAGTGCAAGCAATGCTATTAAGCATTTTTGTGCGTCTCCATTTGTGCATAAGTTTGAGAATTTATCTAGGTCATATGGCTAGGAGAGGAATTACTGAGTCTATGCATTTTCAAATCTATTTATATTATAAAAGGCCTGTGGCCGTAATGCCATAACAAAAACAACTGGACTCACAGGAGGTGAATTGATGGGTCTTGTGGTGTGGCAGGTCGGGGTCCCAAGGCAGCATGGTGGAGTCTGGGGTCCTGCCCCCATGGTGGTGCAGTGTGTCTGGGGTCTCGGTATCATGCAATTCCATGCACTGGGCCTCTAGTGTGTGTGTGTGTGTGTGTGTGTGTGTGTGTGTGTGTGTGTGTGTGTATAAAAGCCTAAGTGACCAAATGACCGAACAGTTGACCAGTTGCTATGATGCACACTGACCACCAGGAGGCAGATATTCAACACAGGAGCTAGGAGCTTCCCCCTGGTGGTCAGTGCACTCCCACAGCAAATCTCCCATATCCCCTCCCCCTGGCCGGGCACCCTCCCTCTCTACCTCCCCCATAATTGGCCCAAATTGCCAGTCAGGCTGAGAGACCCCACCCATGCACTAATTTATGCGCCGGGCCTCTAGTTTACTACATAAAAGCCAACTGTTTTCTAAAATAGTTCGACAAAGTTACACTTCCAACAGCAAAGTATAAGAGTTTCCTTTTCCCTGACTCCCAAACATGGGATTGTGAGACTTTTACATTTTTACTAGTCATCATAAAAAAATGTGAAATGGTACCCCATTGCTTTTATAATATGTGTTTTCCTGATCACTGGTGGGGTTGAGTGTCTTTTCATACATTTATTAGCCATGTTGGTTTATTTTTCTGTGAAATGGCTTTTCATAATTTTTATTGTTTCTTTAGTTTTTATTTATTTGTAGTTCCTTATTATTCTGAACAACAACACTATTTTGTCATTTATATGCATTGCCAATATCCTCTCCCAGACTGTGCCTTGTATTTTTCACTTGATTTATGATACAGTTTGATATATGGGAGGTTTTTAATTTAATATAGCAAAATGTATCAATCTCTTGCTTTATGAGCCTGCTTTTGTGGCTTATTTAAGAAATACTTCCCTCCCTGGAAGCATGTATTCTCCTGTATTTACTTCTAAGAACTGTCAAGTTATGTGTCACAATGAGTCACCTGAGCATTTTTATTTAGTCTCTATTATTCCATTGGATATGGGAGAAAGCAAGCTTTCGGCTGCTACTGCCAAATCCTACATCCAGATCTTAGCAAGCTAGTGGCCTCAGGATCTTTCATTCTTTCACACTTCTGTGCATTTACTAGTAGCTTAATGCAGATATCTCTCTCACAATGGAGCCCAACTATCGATATATATTTCATTTCTTTTTATATATTATTCAATATTACTAATTGATAGAAATGAATCAACTTATTGAAGCAAGAACTTATATAACCATTTGACCCAGAAGTTAAGCTATAGTTTCTTCCTTACTTTTTGGAAATTTTATTCTCTTTATAACCTAATCAAGGAAGAGGGACAGTATGAGGAAGTATTATTTTCTGTCCAAGTAAACCCTAACCACCAGACTGAGAAGAGAAACTATTATTTTCTGCACATGTATATACATATATATGTAATTTTCGAAATAAAGTTAGAATGATACTATATAAACTGGGGTTTTTTTGGAATATAGTGTGAACATTTTTCAATGTCATCAATATTCTTGAAGAGAGAATTTTTTTATTGTTGACAGTATTACAGATGTCTTCCATCTCCCCTCTCTCTTTACCCCTCTATAACCAGCCCCTATCCACCCTAACCCCAGGTCTTTACTACCCCATTGCCATGTCCTTGGGCTATGTATATAAACATATAATTTTTATTTATTTATCTCTCCTCCTACCCCCACCTCCACATGGAGATATGCCAGACTGTTCTATGCCTCCATGCTATGAAAATAGAGGTACATATAGTCTTTGTGATTGGTGTTTCAGGGTTTTTAGAATATATTCCTAGAAGTGGGATCACTGAGTCAAATGACAGTTCTATTTTTAATTTTTTTGAGGACACTCTGCATTGTTTTCCTCAAAGTGGCGGCATCATTGCAGAGAAAAAGGAACCCTCGTGCACTGCTGGTGGGAATGCACACTGATGCAACCACTGTGGAAAACAGTGTGGAGTTTCCTCAAAAAACTGAAAATGGAACTCCCATTTGACCCAGTAATCCCACTCCTAGGAATATATCCCAGGAAACTAGAAACACCAATCAGAAAGGATATATGCACCCCTATGTTCATAGCAGCACAATCTACAATAGCCAGAATTTGGAAACAGCCTAGGTGCCCATCAGC